GTGGAAATTTGAACTTGAAAGAGATGATTTAGGGTACTGGCAGAAGAAATTTCCCAGCAGCAAAGCATTCAAGATGTGACCTGGCTTTTTCTGAAAGCATAAAGTTATATGCATTCACAAATAGATGGCCTGAAATTGGAACTTATGCTTAAAACAGAAGCAGGGTATAAACATTTGGAAAATTTGCGGCCTGACCATGTGGTAGAAAAGAAAAACCCATTTTGTGGGAAGAAATTCAAACCACTGGCTACAGAAATTTGCATAAGTAAAGAAAAGCCAAATGTTAATCACCAAGACAATTGGGAAAATGTCTCCAATGGCATTTGAGAGAGCTTCACAGCATCCCCTCGTATCACAGGCCTAGAGGCCTAGGAGAGAAAAATAGTTTCATGGGCTGGGCCCAGGGCCCTGTTTCTCTGGGCAGCCTCAAGACATGGTGCCCTGTGTCCCAGCCACTCCAGCTCCAGCCATGGTTAAAAGGGATCAAGGTACAGCTTGGGTCATTGCTTCAGAGAGCACAAGCCCCAAGACTTGGAAGCTTCCATGTGGTGTAGGTCCTGTGGGTGCACAGAAGACGAGAGTTAAGCTTTGGGAGTCTCCGCCTAGATTTTAGAGGATGTATGAAAACTCCTGGATGTCTTGGCAGAAGTTTGCTGCAGGGGCAGAGCCCTCATGGAAAATCTCTACTATGGCAATGCAGAGGGGGAGATACAGGGTTGGAGCCCCTACACAGAGTCTCTACTGCAGCATTGCCTAGTGGAGCTGTAAGAAGACAGCCACCTGCCTTTGGCACCCAGAATGATAGCTCAACCATCAGTTTGCAACGTGCACCTGGAAAAGCCACAGGCACTTAACGCTAGCCTGTGAAAGCAGTCACGGGGCCTGTACCCTGCAGAGCCACAGGGGCAGAATTGCCCAAGGCCTTGGGAACCCACCTCTTGCATCAGCATGTCCTGGGTATGAGACATGGAGTCTAAGGAGATTATTTTGGAGCTTTAAGATTTAATGACTGCCCTGTTGGGTTAACTGTGGAATGTCCTTGGCAGAGAGGAGGGGTTTATTTAGATGGTGGGGAAGGCCTTAGAATCTTATTTTTCGTTTACATTCACTGCAGCCTTGAACTACTGGATCCAAGCAATCCTCCCACCTCAGCCTCCCAAGTAGGTGGGACCACAGTCATGTTCACTATGCCTAGCTAATTTTTTTTTTTTTAATAGAGACAGGATCTCACAATTTTGCCCGGACTGGTGGTCTCAAACTTCTGAGCTCAAGCAATCCTCTTGCCCCAGCCTCCAAAAATGCTGGGATTGCAGGCATAAGCTGCCATACCTGGTACCTTTTCATTTTTAAATTTCACATTCCTCTTCTTTTCCTGAATTACATCCAGGTATTCCTCAATGGATCTCTGTTATACTGACATGAAGAGATTGGCATTTGAGGTCCAAAAGATCAAAAGTCAAATCCCAGCACTATCACTTATTAACTACATAACCTTATGATTAATGTTTTCTGTGACTTGCTTGTCTTTTCTTCCCCAAGACAATGAATATTTTCCAATATTATTTTCTAAAACCTTTATTAATTTTATTATTTGTTAATTTAATAATTATTAAGCACTTTTTTTTTTTTTTTAGATAGAGTCTCACTCTGTCACCAGGCTAGAGTGCAGTGGTGTGATCTCAGCTCACTGCAACAGTGGCCTCCCAGGTTCAAGCGATTCCCTTGCCTCAACCTCCCAAGTAGCTGGGACTACAGGCATGCACCACCATACCCAGCTAGTTTTTTTGTATTTTAGTAGAGATGGGGTTTCGCCATGTTGGCGAGGATGGTCTCAATTTCCTGACCTCGTGATTCACCCACCTTAACCTCCTGAAGTGTTGGGATTACAGGTGTAAGCCACCGTGCCTGGCCAAGCACTTCTTATTTAATTAAGCACCTACAAGGTACTTATCACTGTTCTGGGGTTTTCAATCCTCTTCATCTTTTAGACCTCAGGAAATTCCAAAAAATGCATGAGAACAGAATTGTTACATGCAGAGAAATAGGGGGAGATAAATTTGTCTTTTCTCCTTGATGTCAAAAACCCACCTTCCATCCTGTATTCCCAGGAAGATGAGTCTGGGAATGTAGAATGTATGGTAGAAAAGGAGGTACAAAGGAAGGAAAAGACTGGAGTGATGGAACGTGGACTATACCATGAGATTATTCAGATTTTCTGCATAGATGATTGGGTGGATGGGATGCCACTCATTGATGGAGGGAGTAGAGAAAGGAACAGAACATAAATTCAAGACCCTTGGTTGCAAACCAAAGAAATTCACTGTTTTTACCCATTTCCAACTAGTTTAAGATAAAAAGAGGTGTTGGGGCAATTTAATGGCTTCTAAAAGTGAAAAGACCAGAGAAGGGTTTGTTTCAGGCCCAGGTCGGCCCAGGTATTCAAATGATGTCATGGCTCCCCTTTCTGTCACTTTCTGTTTCTCTGTTTATGGTCTTCCTTCTTTCCTACTGCACATGGCTTTCTCCTCATTGGCAAATGAAGCCAATTTACATGTACTTTCAAGTCATGATCCCAGAGAAATAGAGTAAGAAGAAACAGCTCCTCTAAGAGTGTGGCAAAAATTTCCAGAAAAGGTTCTGATTGACCTATTTGTGTCATATGGCCATCTAGATCTATCTGATTCTGGAACCCATCCTGTTAACCACTACTTAGTACCATCTTAACACTAGCCTTTTAAAAAAATGTTTTTCACTCTGTCTTCCTGTTTAGATTCTGAGCTCCTCAAGTACAAAGATCCACTTATTTTTTTTACCCCTAGCACGTAGTACTGTGCTTGGCACATGGTACTGGATACTTTAAATGTGTGTTGGACTGAACTGAAATAAACATCTAAATTCTGAGTGTGTAAACTGAGTAAATTCAGGATCTCAAAGCTAAATGGTATAATAAGAAAACACAGTGAATGAATTAAAGGGTAGAAAAAAAATCATGGATCACTTATATATACTTTCTAGATCCAAACAGGCTACTAGAAGTCTCCAGCTGTGCAGATGGACAAAAGAACAAGGTGCAACCAGCACACCTTACTTGGCTTTTCAAAAAGCTTTAGATTTCCACATCAAAGGCTGTTAGAAAGTATTATCCTCAAATTACTAAGAATTCTATTGTTGTGGATATCATTTTAATTTTGTTTTTTAAATTGCGTCTGGAAAATAAAACCAAAGTCAAGTAATAAATGTTAGTAATACATGTAAATAGTGGGGACTGATCTTATTTAACATTTTCATAAATTTTCAAGAAGCAGTGTTTACTCACTGCTTTTTAGTTTGCTAATCATAGGTCTTTCAAATAATGCAATACAGTCATTCTCCATATACTATACACATGGGACTGGTTCCAGGACCCACCACATATACCCTAATCCAAGCATACTCAAGTCCCCCTGTCCACCCCGTGGAAACTGAGTATAAGAAAAGTTGCCCTTCTCAATAGGGTGTTTAGAATCCCGTGTGCCACGTTACGTTGATTGACCAGCACAGTTCAAATCCATGTTGTTCAAGTGTCAGCTGTATTTAGCAAATGAAGACAAAGGTAAAATGATGGAAAATAATGGTAAGTGACTTGAATTTAGATAAGGTTCACTTACCCCTTTAGGGAAATATAAACATGTGAAACAAGAGGTGGGCACTCAGAGCTAATCATTGGTTCCAATAAGATGGACCTATTTCCTTTATATTTTCTCACTTTTCCATGCAATTCTTGTCTCTCGCCATGAGGCTGTGTGTTCAACTGAAGTGACCCTCACCATCTAGAGGGGAAATTTCAGGCAAGGGACTGCCACAGCTTCTTTGACAATCTCCAAACCTTCAAGGATTGGTAAGAGGGTGAAAGGGGTGAGATGGGGAAACAAAATGAACACAAATTGGAAAGAGCTATCCTTTTCAAGGAAGTAAGGTGATGAGGAATGAGGGTGAGAAAAATACAAATCTGAAGAAAGCCCAGAGGAAAAAACGATATTCAGTCTCCAACTGAATTAAAGGCATAACATAATGAAGGATCAACAGAAGGTTAAAAACACATCACAAAATTCCAAATTGCTCTTATCCATTGAAGCTTAGAGGTGGTTTCAAAACAAACAAAAAAAACTGTGTTAAACAAAACTTGTTTCTCAAACAACCAGTAGAGATTGAAAAATGCAAATATACTTTGTGTGTGTGTGTGTGTGTGTGTGTGTGTGTGTGTGTGTGTGTGTGATGGGTTCTTTTTGCCCAGGCTAGAGCACAGTGGGATGATCTCAGCTTACTGCAATCTCCACCTCACAGGTTCAAGAGATCCTCCTTCCTCAGCCTCCCAAGTAGCTGGGACTAGGTATGTGCCACCATGCCTGGCAAATTTTTGTATTTTTAGTAGAGACGGGGTTTCACGGTGTTGGCCAGGCTGGTCTTGAACTCCTTTGACAGGTTGGGAGGGAGACAATATCGAGTGTTTGATAAAGACCTAGGTAATCCGTGCCCCTCAGCCTCCCACAGTGCTGGGATTACAGGCGTGAGCCACCATGCCTGGCTGCAAATATAATACTTTCAAATAAATTCCAGAGTTGCTAAGGTCTGAGGACAAGGAGATGTAAGGGTGCCTGATCACCGGATTCAGAATGCCTGGGTTCTGATTTTGGCTTGTCTACTTGTCAATATTTCTGAGCCTGTCTCCTTGGCTGTAAAACAGCGATAAAAACACCTATCCTGACTACCACAAAGAGTGGGCTTGGCGTTCAAATGAAACCATGTATCTCACAGGTTTAGAAAACTACAGTGCCCCATAATTATAGTGTTCTTGTTACTGCATCGCTGAAATTGCAAACTCCCAAACAAGGGGCATTTAGGCAAGAGCGACTTGGCTCTCCCACTTGGCGACTGTGTTTTCATCAATTTTGTCCTTTGTTTACTGGGGTATCTTGTTAAGGAAAAACTTTCCAGTGTCTTAAAGATTTTTTTTAACTTACAAGTAGCAAGGTGATGTTTGTAAAAGTACCATGCAGACAAGTGCTTCCGATAGACAAGTGCTCACTGCCAAGAAGCAGCCACCCGAACGCCAGGACCGACAGCAAGGACTTTCCGCGGAAAAGCAGTTCTGTTTGAGAAAGATGCATTCATTGTGTGCGACCACCCGAGGGAGGCCGGCGGCTGAACGACAACATGAATTGGTGGAAATGGCCATCCGGTGACGTAATAGTGACACCGTTCTTAGAATTCTATTCTGATATATTTAATAATGTGTCACAATTCGCTGGACTAAGCAGAAGCTGCCGCGAGCTGCACAACTCCCAGCAACCCAAAGCCCAGCTCCCTGCCGACGAGCAAGAATAATGCGCGCGCGCTGGGCTCCCACGGCTCCAGCGAATGGGCAGCCCTCCACGCAGCCCGACGCGCGCGGCGACGTCGAGCCACGTGACCCTGAGCACGACGACGGCACGGGAGGGCGGGGGCTCGGCCGACTCCGCAGCGCCGCGCAGGCGCCCCAGGGCCGCGCCGAGCCGAGCCCCTCCTGCTCTCTCTAGGAGTCAAAATGGCGGCGGGGGGAACCTGGAACAGTCCTGGAGCCTAAGCCACTGACAGGAGAGGAGAGGGCGGCGGCGGTGGGAGGAGGATGGCTGGGGGTGCTGGCGCGGGTGCGGACGGCGGTGCTGGTGGCGGCGGCGGCGGAGGCGACGGCAGCGGTCCCAGCGGCAGCAGCAGCGGCGGGAGGAGCCTCCGGGGTGAGTGTCCCTCGGTGTCTCTGAGGCTGTGGAGCCGACGCTGTGCCCAGTGTGGCGCGGGGCGTCCCGGAGAGGAAAGGGCAGTTTCTGGGCGTGGGGGCGCCGGGGCTGGGGCCGAGCCGCCGCGGGAGGCGCTGGGGCGCCGGACGAGGAGAGAAGAGTCTTCATTCTGGGACTGAGGCGCGGCGGCGTCGGACTGGCCGGTCCCTGTGCGCTCCGAGGGACGGGCTGGAGCGCGCCACCGTCCCGGGGGCAGGGGCGCTCGGTGTGGGGCTCGGGGCCGGGAGACCAGCCCGAGGGAACCGGCCGCCCGGCTTTGGGCTCCGGGCGCCCAGAGGCGGGACCTGCGGCTCCCAGGACACTGAGAAACCGCTCCCGAGACTAGGGCGCGTGTTTACCCGGCTGCAGGGTTGCGACCGCCAGGGGTGGGCTTGAAAGTGGCCGGCAGGGACTGGGAAGAGAGCAGGCCTGTGGACTGCTACTCCCAGGGCAAGTTAGATTGTTCGGGTAGGTGACTGTTGCGGCATAAACCTGGAATTGAGTTTTGACAGGTTGGGAGGGAGACAATACCAAGTGTTGATAAAGAAGAGAAGACTGTGCTTGAAGTACCTGAATGGCAAAATGTGTGCATTTTTCAGTATCTTGTCATTTGCACAGTGTTTGCTAGCTTTACCCCAAGGGTGAGAACTTTCTCACCGTTTTTTTAGAAGCTCTAAGAAGTGTTGTTTCTCTTTTGAACTACAATAGCACTTCTTCACATACCAGCACAGATAATAAGTACTCTGGAGTAGGCCTAATTTACAGAAGCAGTCTTAGTTATCTTTACTAGAGCACTGTTTCCTCTGCGGAGACATCTTACTGTAATGAGAAAATAGACTTTTTTTTTTTTTTTAGAGAATTACTTAGCATTTTCAACTAACAATCGTGTGTGTGTGTGTGTGTGTGTGTGTGTGGATGGAGTCTCGCCCTTTCACCCAGGCTGGAGTACAGTGGCAGTAGCTGGGATTATAGGCCCCCGCCACCACGCCCAGCTAATTTTCGTATTTTTGGGAGAGTCGTGGTTTCACCATGTGGGTCAGGCTGGTTTCGAACTCCTTACCTCTGGTGATCCACCCGCCTCAGCCTCCTAAAGTGCTGGGATTACAGGCGTAAGCCACCGCACCTGGCCTGGTCATCTAACAACCTTTTGTCCCTAATGGCATTTGTTTCCTTTAGATTGCTGAAATGAATTGCTTTCTTCCTGAAATGTGGAAGAAGGACTTGGCAGTTGCTTTGTAAGCAGCCGTTATTAGACTTGTCATGGAATTTTGGAGTCAGAAAAACTTTTAGAGATCTAAAGGTGTTGACTATTTTTTTTAGAGCCGGGAAACCAGACCCAGAGACGCGAGTGACTTGCCATGGGTCCTACAGCTGGCGATGGATTAGACCAAAACTAAGTTGCAAGCCTCTGCACCCCATTTAGAGAGCTCGTTTTTACTACACTCCTGAGCTGCTTATTCTTCATTGATTGCATTTTTTTATCATTCACTAAGCATCCCTATCCATAGGTTTTGGTGTAATAAAGTTGAAAGTGAAAATGAGAGGCTCTCTCTCATTCTGTCAGCTACTTCAAGTAACTGATGAAGATTTTTTTTTTTTTTGCCCTAACCTGAACTTAATAAAAACAGAGTGATATTTCATTTGGAGTTTTCTGAGGCTCATGACACATTTTCACCCGGTTTTAACATGGCTCATTCTTGCATGAATTCAGTAAAACTTATGGGTCAATATTCTGTCCCACAAAATCTGACTACTGTATTGTGTCCCAGTACCAGCATTTAAACAAGATTTTTGTATCAGACTCTGATTTTAGGATTTAAAACGCCTGTGTTGATTTCTAGGATATACTACCTGGTTTCCGTGTATCATCTTGTTGAGTCACAGCATTTTTATTTATAGTGTGTCGCAGGTAAACCTTCAGAAGTGCAATAATGCCAAAATGATTCTGATTTCAGATTCTAGTTACTGAAGTTCACACATCCAAAATTATATAGGCGACTGTTGAAGGTCTGGTTTTTGTTTTTCATTTTACAAATGATGTGGAAGAAAGGAAAGAAACATATTAGGTTGGTGTAAAAGTATTACTGCGGTTTTTTCCATTAATATATAGACTTTGCCCTCAAGTTCTTATTGGAAAGATCAAGTGTGCCAACATGAGCCTAGAAGACAATCTAGTTAGTTCTTCTAATACAAAGAATACTGCTGGTGTACAGGATGGAGAGAGATGGAGTGAGGCCTCAGGAGTCCAAAGAACATGGGACACTTTGGATGTGAGCTGGCCCATGAAAGTTTAGATGTATGGAGAGATTGTAGCAATTACTTTGTGAGGGAAAAGCAAGAGTATAAAGCGAAGATTAGCTTAAGGAGAGGGAAATAGAGGGAGACCGGGATGAGCTGACAACTGAATTTCCTGAGGAGAATGTTTTCCTTAGGAAACATAGTCAGTTGGAAAGCTGTTTGTCTGTAGAAGAGTTTGAGTACTGAATTGAGGAGATTTCTATTTTTATCCTGTTGTGCAAGGTATAGAGAGCCTTTGAAAGTTTGGAGGCCAGGGATTAATGTCGTAAACCAGCAAGGTAAACCTGTCAGTGATCTACAGGTTGAGTTAGAATGAGGAGAGAATGGAATGAACCAGAGAGGACAGTAGCTGCTGCAGTAATCTGAGTATGAAGAGATCTTAGACCAGGATAAAGTCAGTAGGAAAAATTGCATAGCATATATCTGTGTGCTTATTGTGGTAAATTACACGTAAAATTTACCATCTTAAGCATTTTTAAACGTATAGTTCTGCGGCATTAAGTACATTCACATTGTTTTACAGCCATCACCACCCTCCATGTAGAATTCTTTCATTTGGAGTTTTCTTAGGCTCATGACTACATTTTCCTAAGCTGAAACTCTCCATTTTTCCTTACCCCCAGCCCCTGGCAACTACCAGGGTCTGTCTCTTTAATTTTGACTACTCTAAGTACCACATATAAGTGAAATTATACAGTATCTGTCCTTCTATGTCTGTCTTATTTCACTTAGTATAATGTCATCAGGGTCCATCCATGTTGTAGGTTGTGTCACAACTTGCTTTCTTTTTAAGGCTGAGTAATATCCATTGCATGTATCTTTACATTTTGTTTATCCATTCATCCATCACTGGGCACTTACGTTGCATCCACATTTTGACTGTTGGGAATAATGCTGCTGTGAACATGGATGTAAAAATATCTGAGTCTCTGCTTTCATTTCTTTTATGTATTTTACACCCAGAAAATTTTACATTCGTACCAGCAGTGCACAAGGGTTCCAGTTTCTCCACATCCTCAATAATACTTGTTATTTGCTGTTTGGTGTGGTTTTTTTTCTTTTCGAATATTCATCCTAATGAGTATGAAGTGGTATTTCATTCTGATTTTGATTTGCATTTTTAAAAACTGATTGGTGATATTGAACATCTTTTCATGTGGTTATTGGTCATTTGTATATTTTCTTTGGAAAAATACCTATTCACGTTATTTCCCTGTTTTCTAATTAGGTTTTTTGTTTTTGTTTTTGAGTTGTGGAAGTTATTTATATATGCTGAATATCATCAGTCCCTTTTCAGACATATGATTTGCAGATGTTTTCTCTCGTTCTGTAGGCTGCCTTTTCACCCTTTTGATAGTGTCCTTTGCTGCACACATAGTTTTTAATTTTGATGAAATCTAGCTTATCTAGATTTTCTTTTGTTGCTTGTGCTTTTGATGTCATAGCCAATAAATCATTATCAAATCCAATGTCAGGAAGATTTTCCCCTATGTTTTCTTTCTTTTTTAATGCCGGGTGCAGTGGCTCACGCCTGTAATCCCAGCACTTTGGGAGGCCAGGGCGGGCGGGTCACCTGAAGCCAGGAGTTCAAGACCAGCCTGACCTACATGGTGAAACCCTGTCTCTTAAAAAAAAAAAAAAAAAAAGAGAGAGGGAAAGAAAAAAGGAATTCATTTGGCCGGGCGTGGTGGCTCACACCTGTAATCCAAGCACTTTGGAGGCCAAGGCGGGCAGATCACCTGAGGTCAGGAGTTCAAGACCAGCCTGACCAACATGGTGAAACCCCATCTTAAAAAATAAATAAATAAATAAGACAGGTAGGTTCTTGCCTGGTCACCCAGGCTGGAGTGCACCAGTGTGATTATGGCTTACAGTAGTCTTGAACTAGGGGCTCAAGCAGTCCTTCCATCTCAGCTTCCCAAATAGCTGGGACTACAGGTGCATGCCTACACGCCTGGCTAAGTTTTTAAAATTCCCTGAGGAGAAGGGATCTCACTATGTTGCCTAGGCTGGTCTCAACTTTTGGACTCAAGTGGTCCTCCCACCTCAGCCCAGGGTGCTGGGATTACAGGCATGAGCCACCATGCCCAACATTTTTATTTTATTTATTTTAAAAGAATTTTATAGTTCTGGCTCTTACATTTAGGTCTTTATGTGTGGATATCCATTACCATATGTGTGGTTTTTCCATTACCATTAGTTGAGAAAACTGTCCTTTTCCCATTAAATGGTCTCGGCACCTTTGTTGAAAATTATTTGACCGTAAGTTCGAGGGTTTATTTCTGGGCTCTGTATTCTATTCCATTGGTCCATACGTTTGTTTTTATGCCAGTATCACACTATTTTAATTACTGTAGCTTTATAGTAACTTTTGAAATCAAGAAGTGTGAGACGCCACTTTGTTCTTTTCAAGATTGTTTTGGCTATTTGCGATTCCTTGAGATGCCATATGAATCTTAGGATGGGTCTATTTCTGCAAAAAATAGGCTATTGGTATTTTGCTAGGGATTGAATTGAATCTGTAGGTTGCTTTGGGTAGTGTTGACTTCTAAATACTGAGTCTTCTAGTTCATGAACATGGAATATCTTTCCATTTATTTGTGTCTTTATTTCAGCAGTGCTTTTTAGTTTTTAGTGTAAAAGTCTTTTTGTCTCCTTGGCTAGGTTTATTTCTAAATATTTTATTCTTTTTGATGTGGTTATAGATAGGATTCTTTCCTTAATTTCTCTTTTGGATTGTTCATTGTTAATGTTTAAGAATGTTTTTTTGTGTTAATTTTGTATCCTACAACTTTACTGAATTTATTAGTTCTAATAGTTTTTTTGTGTGTGGAATCTTTTTTTGTGTG